GCGCGGGCTTGGGGTCTGGGGCGCCCGGCCAGCCGGGCACCGGAAGCTGCGGGGCCTGGTGGCCTTGGAGGCCCCCGTCTGGGAGACCCAGGAGGGCACGTGTGGGGCACTGGGGAGGCCTCTGTGGTGAGCGGGTGAGATCCAGAGGCCGTGTGGGGCCGTGGTTCCGGCTCCTCTGGGTCCCCAGGCTTGTGGGGTCGGTCCCCGAGGCCGACCTCTGAGGCCCATGCACCAGCACCTCCCACGTGACTTGGAGCGTGGCCTTGCCCCGAGGGGGAGTCCGGTGAGGACCCGGGCGGGGGCCGCACACGGCCCGCGTGGGCCCTGGAATCGGGACGCCAGTGCCCTCCGCCAGCCCCGCGGGGTCCGGTGGAGGGGCGACCGTCTGCACGGCTGTGGCCTTGTGGGGCCACGGGCTCGGGGCCGCTGCTGTGTCCCTCCTGAGGACCCCCTGCTCCTGGCCTGTCTCACGCACGCACGAGATGCTGGGGACGCTTCCCGAGGGGAACAGCGGTGGCAGCAGCTTGGGGGAACGGGTTCTAACGGGCAGAGAGGACTCCCGGCTGGCCCCGCGGCCGCGGTGGGAGGCACAGGGGGGACCCGGCCCTCGTGGACCTCAGCGCCTGGGATGGACCCACGCACTCCGGCCGTGGACCGGTCTGGTGCCTGCACCCCTCACTTCCGGAACCCAGCAGGGCCGCTCCCATCACCCCTGCCCCATCTTCCGGCCCCGGCCCCACCCAGGCCGAGTCCGTCACTCCCCTCCCACCGGCACCTGGTCACCCTTCGGGTGCCCGCCGCGGCCCCGAGGCGCCAGCCCCGTCGGAGCTGTGCTGTGGGTGACCATGGGGTCTGAGCACCGGGCCGCCCAGCTCAGTGTCAGGAGGACCGGACACGGGCCAGACCAGTTAGGCCTGCCAGCGCCTCGGACAGGGAGGAGAGACACAGAGACAGGCAGGGACAGAGAGATAAGGACAGAGAGAGACACACGGAGGGACACGCGCACTCTTACCTGCGGAGTACGGCTCCTGCTTCTCCGGGTGGGTGAACTCCAGCCGTTCGTACTTGGCCCGGATCCACTGCTCCCGCAGGAGCCTGGGGAGGGAGGGCAGAGTGAGCCCCGGGCCGAGCGGGACCGCGGCGCGTGGGGGCTCCTGGCACCCCACGGACACGCGGCCACTGAGAGCGCGCGTGTCCACCGCTTGCAGACGGCAGGGCCGAAGGGCCGCCCGCTTTGATTTTTAAAATCATTTGCGATCAGACAGGTCTGCCACTAACACCTCCTCCTAAGAAAAGAAGAAATGGCCCTCGGGGGCGCCTGGCTGGCTCGGCCGGAGGAGCCTGCGACTCTTGATCTCGGGGTTGGGAGTTCAAGGCCCCGCACTGAGGGCAGAGATTTCAAAAAAAAAAAAAAAAAAAAAAAAACCTAAAAAATTGGCTCTGATTCACGTGGCCGTAACGCGACCACCGAAAGCGCTGACTCTGGCAGCTCACGGCGCCTTCCCAAGGTTATGCCGCCGTCACCCCAAAGAGGACCCCATGCCCACCAGCGCCCCCTCCCCCCCCCAGCCCCCACCCGCAGTCCACTTCCGCACGGAACCGGGCGGGTACGAGGCCGTCTGGGTCAGCCCCACTGGGGCGTCATTCCTTTCCGTCCACCGGCCCTCGAGGCGCACCCCCGCCCACCGCCCCCCGGGAGGGCTGCCCCAGAGGCGGCAGAGGGCCGTCTGCCCGGAGCGCCCGCTCACGCCCGTGGTGGGTCCTGCCAGACGGCCCGGCGCCCACGGCCCTCGCGGCCCCTCCACCGGGCGAGGCAGCGGCTTCCTCGCCCTCCTCGCCCTGTGGCCCCTGGGGCCCGACCCCCCTCGGAAGGGGCCATCCGACGACAGTCTGGGACCCTGGCACGGCCCTCGGGCTCGGAGGCCCTTCCTGCCGCGTGCGGGGGCCTCCCCGGGCCCGGCACAGAGGCTCCCGGTGGCAACAACGGGACTAAGCCCTGGGAGCAGGCATGGGAGGGGGTCCCCACGCTGCTTGGCAGGCGCATCCCGGACCGCTCGGCCCCCGGGGACCCCACGGCCAGGGTGTCGCGGCAGGGGGCCCCGTCCTCCGGAGGCCATCTGGCCCGGCCTCCCGCACCAGGGAAAGCCAGCAGCGACGGGGTTCCCGCTACACGTGAGGCCCGGCGACGAGGGAGGCAGTGCCCACACCCCGTCTCGGGCCTCTGATGAAACCCCAGACATGCTCTACGTTCTCGGGAGCTGAGGGCGGCCAGGCTTCGCCGCCCCCCCGCCTGCCCCGTGCCCTCCGCCCTCCCCACAGCAGACCCAGACCTCCTGTCGTTTCATCCGCCTGGTTTCAGAGGCCGTTAATGGATGAACCGTGTCCCCCACCCATGAAAAGACGTTGGGTCCTAACCGACACTGCAGACTGGCCCCCGTTTGGACGGATTAACGGGTTATGATGAGGTCGCCCTGGAGTCGGGGCGCCCTCGGGGTGGGGGGAGTCTGCAGAGACACAGGACGGCCACGTACGAGCCGAGGAGGGGGCTCAGGGGACCCCACACGCACCTCGACCCCGACCTCCAGGATGTGGGAACAGTGAATTTCTGTTGCAAAAGCTGAGCACCCGGTGTTTCGTCACCCTGGCCCCCGGAAGCCAGCACGGGGCCCCTGCCAGCCACCCTGCCCGCTGAGGGCTCGGGGGGCTCCTCCAGGTTCCGCCGAGGCTGCCTGCTGAGCCCACGTCACAGGAAGCCAGGGGCTGGCTGACAGCAGAGGGAAAACCAGGAGGGCCCTGGTGACTTTCTTCCCGCCGTGTGAGGACCGAATGCCAGGCCAGCAGGGCAGACACGGGAAGGGAACTGGGTCCCGCCCCCCTGAGTCACCGCCTGACACTAACACGGCCTGATCCCCAGGCCTTCTGAGCACAGCTCCTCATGGGCCCCGTGCCCCGGGCAGGGGGACACACACCCCCCCCCCCAGGCCATCCTCACGACACGTGGGAGCCTCCCTGGCTCTGCAGTGTGCACATCTGAATCCCCACGGTTTACAAAGGGATTCCACCATACCTCCTACCGCTGCATGGCTGTCCACAGGGAGCTTGGTGGGTCGGCTGCCACACCTCCCTGGTCAGCTTTCCCCACGAGGGGCTGGGACCTCACCCCTGCAGATGTCTGCACCCTCCTGGGCCTCTGGGGCTTGGCCTGGGCAGACCTGAACACCCACGGAGTGTGGGGGCCGTGGCAGACTCGGCTCCCACAAACCTCCACCTGGCGGAAGCTTCTGGAAGGCAAGGCCTGCCCCGGGTCAGCCCGCTCACCACCCTGGGACGCCCAGTCACCTGATGGGTCCTGACCACACTGCCCCGGCAAGGCAGTCCCTTGTCATACACTCAGACAGAAGGGACACATGGGGACACATGCAAATAACCAGACCACAGGGCAGCCTGTGGCCGGGGCGATAAAATCACATCTCACAAATAGCTGTCTGGCCTCGCTGATTCATACTGGGACGTGAATGGCCTGGCGTGGCCTCAGGGTCCAGATTTCCCCGGGAGCCCAGAAGCAGTGGGGTCTCAGGACGTGACACGGTGTCTGCATGGGGGTGGGTCCCTGGCAAGGCGTCCTGTCCCCAGAGACCCGCAGCCAACAGCATATCACCGGCCCGGAAGGTGGGTGGGCCAGGTCCCCACCTTCCTTTCCAAGAAAGGGCAGCTCACCCCCAGGCAAGTGGCCACGAGGTCTCCCACCTGCCCCCATGGGAACAGGGCTCCCCAGCATAGAGACCACGTCCCAAGTGCTGGTTCCAGCTCGTCTGCTGGCATCTGTGTTACCCTGAGAAACTCACCCAACCCCTCCAGGCCCCCGGGAACACCCTTGTCAAAAGAGGGCCATTCGTTCTGAGCTGTGGCTGCCACCGTGGAAGAAGAGAGGCGGGGGGCGGGTCTGGGTGACACCCCAGGGCCAGGCCCATGCTGGGAGCAGAGGACCGAGGCGTCCCGGGTGGCGATGCCCAGGGAGGGAGGGAGGGAATGCAGGGAGGTGTAGTGATGCCGGGGGAGGGGATGACTGGCTTCGGTGGGGGCACGGGGGGACAGGGGGACACCCTGAGACAGGCGGCCGCACAGGTGCAGCTTCTCAGCATCCTCCTCAGACCTCCGGGGAGTGCTCGAGGGCCCCCAGCAAGGACCCCACCGCCCAGCCACGGGCCCGGGCCCGCCCCCGCCCCCCTCCGGTCTTCCAGCGCCAGACAAAACCGCTCGGCGACTTACTGACAGTCAGAGGACGTGGGCCGGTAGTAGAAGGGAGGCACTTTGGACTCATACGCGTCTCTCGCAGCGTCATTTCCATGGGAGGCCATGAACTGCAGAGAGAGGACAGGGTCAGTGCTCCCGGAGGCCGGGGCCGGGCCGGCTGAGCCCCAGCCGCTGCTGTCCCAGCGAAGGTAGTTCGCAGTGGCCGCAGGGACAGGACCTGCGCTTCCGGGTAGAAGGGGTGCTGGGGAGGGTGGCAGAGAGGCCGGGCCCTGCATACATCCCCCGGGACGGCAGCGCTGTGCCCTCCGCCCAAGGTGCCCCGTCCCTGCCTCACGCGAGGCCCGCCGTCCACTCATCTGACCCACACGGGCAGGCGGCCCTCGAGAACTGGACACAGCGAGGGCCCCAGAGATGGAGACTGGCCCGGGGCAGCAAAGTGCGTGTCCCCCGAGGCGGACGGACAGCAGGAGTCAGGAGTGGGGAGCAGGGCACTTACGCGGGCAGTGTGGGTGGGCAGTAGGTGCAAAGGCCCTGAGGAGGGTGCTTGGTGTGCTGGTGTTGGACGACATCCCAGGGCCGGTGTGGGGAGCAGGGAAGGGGCCAGAGGGGCCTGACCTCACAGTGGCCTTGAGGACAAGGGGAGCAAAGGAAATCCCTTGTGTTCCAATCCTGCCTCCTTCCCGAAGCCTCCAGGGAAAGCCTTTCTTCTAACAGCATGGAGCTTTGGGGACCACTGGGTCGTGACCATGGACGACCCAAGTGGGTCAACTGGAAAATACCACCAACAGTAAGACACTTGAGCAAAAGGCTGGAACCAAATTAGAATTCTGAAATCAGAATTCTATGTATCTGAAACCAGCCGAGAAGCAGCCTCACAAGAAATGCTCAAAGTCTCCACAAGGCAAAACTTAACACGCTCCTGAGGGATGAGCACAAAACTGTGCACAGAGACCCGTGCCTGGGAGGGGTGGGAACATGCCGCCTCCTTATGTTAATCTATGCGCTTTTGGAAGCTGTCAAAAACAAAAACAAAACGGGAATAGCCGTTTTTAAAGCTAGCAATGGTTCTAAAGTTCATTTTAAAGTTAACAAGCAGAGTAGGGGTGCCTGGGTGGCTCAGTCGGTTAAGCGTCCAACTCAGCTCAGCTCGTGATCTCGTGGTTCGTGGATTCAACCCCCATGTCGGGCTCTGTGCTGCCAGCTCAGAGCCTGGAGCCTGCTTCGGATTCTGTGTCTCCCTCTCTCTCTGCCCCTCCCCCGTTCATGCTCTGTCTCTCTCTGTCCCAAAAATAAATAAACGTTGAAAAAAAAAATTTAAAAAAAAAATAAAAAAAACATAAACCTTAAACAAATTTTTTTTAAAAATACAATTAACAAGAAAAAATATTCTAGAAAATTCTGTAAATGAAGACTCTTCCTACCAGATATTAAAACCTGTTACTGACTAGAAAGCCTAATCAATGAAACCAAGAAAAGATCCAGAAATCGATCCGCTAGAATCTAATACTGATATTAAGTGGATTTAATAGGATTAACGCCCATCTCACATCAGCGAGGGGCGCCCACTGGCTGATCATCAGTGGGGGCAGGAAACGCGGAAACCATTGGAGAAAAAGTGTGGCTGGACGCAGCCTTTCAGTGACATAAGTTCCAGCTGAATTGAAGCTGTGATTTCCAAAATTAAACAGTAAAAAGAGTAGATAAGAACCATGGTATAATTTTTAAAATCATGTTAGGAAAACACAGGAGGAAATCTCCCATTAATGTCTCCCGTTAAGACGTGGTTTCCTAGATGTCCCACCACAAGCACAAACAACCAGAGACAACAGTGGAACTTCAGAATTAAAAACTGTGCTCCAAAGGATGCCATCGAGAGAGTGCAAGCGTGGTGCTAAATGACAGCAGCCGGGCGAGAAGGGCACAGCGCGTGGCCGCGGGGCCGGTGGCACTGCGTCCTTGGACGTGACGGGAATACTTGGAAACAGACAACGTGACCGTGGCAGACGCCATCACACTGTTCCCTTTAAAATGGCGGGTTTGGGGGCGCTGGGGCGGCTCAGTCACGTGTCAGACTCTTCACTTTGACTCAGGTTATGATCTCACAGTTCATGAGTTCGAGCCTCGCGTCGGGCTCTGTGCTGACGGCGTGGAGTCTGCTGGGGATTCTCTCTCTCTCCCTGCCCCTCCGCCATTCGTGCTCGTGCTCTCTTTCTCACTCTCAAAATAAATAAATAAATGTAAAAAAATAAAATAAAATGGTGGGTTTTCTGTTATGTGGTTTTCACCTCAGTAATAAAAAATATACACGTATATAGCTCTTCAAGAATATACATTTCTTTTTTTTTTTTTTTAATGTTTGTTCATTTTTGAGAGAGAAAGAGAGACAGTGTGAGAGGGGTAGAGTCAGAGAGAGAGGGAGACACAGAATCCGAAGCGGGCTCCAGGCCCTGAGCTGCACAGAGCCCGACGCGGGGCTCGAACCCGCGGACCGTGAGATCATGACCTGAGCCGAAGTCGGACGCTTAGCAAACTGAGCCACCCAGACACCCAAAAAATTGGTAAAGGATTTGCGTGGACGTCTCTGTGGAGCACGTACGCAGACAAGCCGGCCGGCGTACGCGGAGATGCTGACCGCCTGGCGCCCACGAGGGCATCTAGAATCAGAGGCAGGCGGTACGATGCGTTGGGGGCCCGGGGACCACCGTGCACTGCCAGGGGCCACGTGCACCTGTCCTGGACCCCCTGGGAGGCCCCCAGGTGTCAAACAGAGAGCCCCGTAAGGCACAGCGAGGCCAGGCCATTCCCGGAGGAAGGCGACCCCTGCCCCTGACTGTTCGCAGCAGCACTTCCTGTGGGAGCCGAGGGAGTCACGCAGCCCAAGAGTCACCGATGGACGGGCGAGCCGAACGTGGCCTGTCCACACAGCGGGAAGCAGTCCACGATAAAGGGGATGGCCACGTGGCTGAACCCTGAACACATGGTGCTCCACGGGGGAAGGAAGTCAGAGGCGGTGG